TGTAAAGGGTGCTGGTGTAGTCGAGGTAGTGTAGCTGGAGTTGATGTAGTCGAGGTGGTGTAAAGGGTGCTGGTGTAGTCGAGGTAGTGTAGCTGGAGTTGGTGTAGTCGAGGTGGTGGAGTTGGTGTAGTCAAGGTGCTATAGTCGTGGTCGTAGTTGGAGGTTATTCCTAGTCAACCTTAAGTAGATAAGGTTGAAATGTATGGTTGGTTTGTTGTTTGACGCCGCACTCAGCAATATTCCAGCTATATTACGGTGGTCTGTAAATAATCGAGATGGACTCAGGCACGATATATAAAAGATATTTATAAACATGTGTATTTTGCTATGATTTGTATTTCTCAAAGGAAATTAGCATATAAACAACAAAGTGATTCGGAGAGTATGGGGCAGAGTCCGTTGCAGTGTCACTAATACTACTATCCCTCCAGAGTGGTCATAAAAGTACTGGTGGAAGCTGATTTAAATACAACAGCACAGATTTCCTCACCAAGATTATGCTATGATTATTGATGATAACCCTTGATGATGGAAAAAATGCATGGACATCTCATATAAGAACATTATTATTTTAGTTGCTGTCTCAATATATTGGTTGTATCTTATCATCTATGGTTTGGGTTCAAACAGGGATTTTATGACCGCTTTCCTTCACCAACGACTTCAATCTCGAAAGATTCACTCTATTGGTAGATTCTACATTGGTAGGCCTGTACATACGTGGCACCATCAGCAACTAACTGATGATTGGAAATGAGGTGTATATAAAACTATTTCTTATGTATTGTTATCCCCTTTTCATGCTGGCAGCATGCTCCTGACCAAATGTATCCTTTATATACCCTGGCTCCTTTACTCTACGTAGTCAGCAACCTCTCTGCAAACACATTGGTACCCGTGAAGGTCCGGGGGGTTAGAATGAACCTTCAGTAACCCATGCTTGTCGTAAGAGGCGACTAACGGAATCGGGTGGTCAGTCTCGCTGACTTGGTTCGCAAATGTCATCGGTTCCCAATTGCGCAGATCGATGCTCATGCTGTTGATCACTGGATTGTCTGGTCCAGACTCGATTATTTACAGACCGCCGCCATATATACTACCATCAAAAAGTTTAGACTCACTTTAAAGCACTCACCATATGTTATATATAAACTGACGGGCAAAAGTTAGTATAACGTTTTCAATTTGGTTTGGGGAAATTGAGCATGTCTAAATTCCAATGAAACATCCAAAGCAAACATTGTCCAAGTCACGAGAATATTGCAGAATGGTAGTGATGTCAGTAGATGTAGTCACGTGACCCTAGCAGGAGAAAAAGGTATAACATGTAATCTTTGAAAATCACGATCATGCACGTGCAATAAGTCGGGTAGAAATGGGATGGATACACGCTGGCATATCACAGTAACTGAAAGCACATGCAAAATGCCGAAGCTGACACAAATTCAGCGAGAGCGAGCCATTGGAATGCGCGATATGGGAGCTTCTACCCAAGCTCATCTTGCCAGAACGTTCGGCTGTACCCCCAGCAACAACTCTCCAGGCTGTTCACACGTTACCGGAATACTGGTAGCACTCAAGACAGGCCGAGAAGTGGACGGCCACGGGTCACTACACCCATAGAAGACCGCTACATCCGGACTATCCATCTCCGGAACAGGTTCGTGACGGCAACGTCGACGGCGGCTACGGCACTCGGGCATCGTATCAGTCGTCGCACAGTGACCCGAAGATTGAGATTGGCTGGTATAAGGGCTTACCGGCCTTTCCGCGGAATGGTCCTGACCCTCAGACATCGCCAAAACAGACAGCGGTGGGCAAGGCAAGTATACAGGTGGCAAGTCCGAGATTGGCGACGTGTTCTCTTTTTCCGATGAAAGCCGTTTCACCCTTTACAAGTGTGATGGCAAAGAACGGGTATATCGTCGACGAGGGGAACGTTTAGCAAGGCCATGCATCAGAGAAGTTCATCCATTCGGCGGGGTGGAGTCATGGTTTGGGGCGGTATCTGTGGAGACCAGAAGACCCGTCTGGTTGTAGTGCAGGGCAATCTCAATGCACGGGGTACATCGGACAGATCCTACAGCCAGTTGTGGTACCCTTCCTACAGAATCAACCCTGGGTGTACCCTACAACATGACAACGCGAGACCTCACACCGCCAGAGAGACTCGCTACTTCTGCAACAGAACAATGTTGACGTCCTGCTCCTGGCCAGCGTGCTCACCGGATATGAACCTGATCGAGCACCTCTGGGATCATCTGGACAGGAAGATCAGAGGTCGGCAACAAGTTCCACAGAACAGGCAACAGCCAGAGCAAGCACTCAGAGAGGAATGGAACCGCATTCCCAATGACGTCATTCGACGTTTGACGACGTCAATGAGGAGACGTGTGAGGGCATGCATTGACGCAGCAGGGGTCACACACGATACTGATGTGCACAAGATCCTGTATTCAAGGAATGCCCCTGCTACTGACTCATAAACTCAGATTGTGATAATCGATTTATGCAAAATTCCACCCCTTGCGTGTTTACTTTGACAGCGGCTCACAAACTCCTTTGAATGAAATTGTTGATTTTTGTGATTTACAGCTCAAGTGTTTTTATTATGATGCATTAAATATTTTGGGAAATTTCGGTGTATGTCTTTGTTACAGGACGTTCAAAACGTCATATACTAACTTTTGCCCGTCAGTTTATATTTCTGGAACTATCTGCAGCCCTTATGCAGATAAATTGCACGAGAATCATGCATCAAACTGCTGAAAAGCATGCTGAAATATCGCGCATGTGAACAGTTGCGGATTCGTCAATTTTCACTGAGTTTCATCATTTATTGATTTCATGACAATAATCTTTCAACGTCGCACATTTGTTTTACAATGCATCAGTTCATGTGTAAACAGCACCTTTAAACAGTGTGGAATATTTTGCAAAATCTAGTTTAGAACAGTTGACTGAAGTAAATGGCTATATTTAAACTAGTGAGTCTAAACTTTGATAGGGTAGTATAGCTGGAATAGTGCTGAGGGCGGCGTAAAACTAAACTCACTCACTCACGCAAACACATTGGTAGTCCTCGTCTGTCATCCAGCAGTCGGAAGCATACCTCAGAATACATCTTCCACCGGACTTGCCAAGCTCCTTACACCGGTCATTGCAAGACTTCCAAAGCGATGCCGTTCATCAGGGTTCATCTGTCTCATAGCAACCTCCTGTCAGTTGGGGAATAACATTGCTTGTATTCACACTCAGATCCGCTGTGGATGCCACCTAATTATTGGATTACGCCAAACATCTTCAGTCAAATGTATGTATTTGTTTTATTTACTAACTTTACATTCATATGTAAAAGAAGGGTTTTCGACACTAAATGCCAGGTATCTTGTGTTAGGCTAGTTAACAGACAAAGCACAAGGGCAGATTTGCCTTACAACTGAATACAAGTTTGGACACTCCGGTCCATACTATTATCAAAACGGATCCGTTTTACTTCCGCTAGTTGCAAACACATTGGTAGGCCTTGCCTGAAACATCCCTCTTAACACATGTTCCACCGGACTTGCCAAGGTCTTTACACCGTTCATTGCAGGACTTCCAAAGGTCTCCCGTTCCCCGGAGCTCCAGCCAGAGCATCTGCTCCAGGTCTCCCCGCAACCACCTTCCGTTTGGGGAAGAACCATCAGAGATGCCAGGACGAGGATAGTTAAGAACATCGTTACTGAAACAGTTATCGAAAATTCCACTTGAGTTATTAAACCCGTGAAGGTTCGGGTTCGAATATTGATCTTCAGTAACCCAAGCTTGTCGTAAGACTAACGGGATCGGTGGTCCAGCTCGCTGACTTGGTTGACACATGTCATCGGTTCCCATTTTGCAGATCGTTGCTAATGCTGTTGATCAGTGGCTTGTCTGGTCCAGACTCGATTATTTACAGACCGCCACCACACAGCTGGAATAGTGCTGGGTGCGGCGTAAAACTAAACTCACTCACTCACTCACTTGAGTTAATATCTATATTTGAATGCTGCTGCCCCGTCTGATTAATGGGCGGTGGGGTGGACATAGTGGTTAAAGCGTTCGCTCGTCACACCGAAGATCCGGGTTCGATTCCCCACATGGGTACAATGTGTAAAAAACCATTTCTGGTGTCCCCTGGAATATTGCTAAAAGCTATGTAAAACTAAACTCACTCACTCACTACCTGTTGTTAAAGTACCTGTTGAGCATGTCGTGGTGTTTACCATTGTGATCACATTCAAATATCAAACAAATCAACTTTTGACAATAGGCACTCTGGGGTGTATTTCAACGCGGTTCTTTGTTGAATGCTTTAATCTCTAGGCTACTCCACCGCCACCGGTTACACGTGAAGAAGATACATATATAATAAAGATGAAGCTTAAGTGTTTATAAAGCAATAAACTGTTGCGCCCCTTCTGTGTTACAGTCCGTTTGATTTCATTTGAGACCGATGATTTGATCACTAACAAAAACCTAATTATTGCAACAAACCCAATTTGGCACAGTCGCATAAAATCGACAGACCAATTCTGATTGTTTGTCCTCATAAGTTTGGACACCTGAATATAAAGTTGTTTAACAAACGATCATTATTCTGTTGTTACTTTTCGCTATTTTGTACGAGGGAGGACCATTTACTGGTAGAACAGACAGATAATCAACAAGCGTGTGTATGGCCCGTTTGATTGGATTTGATACCGATGAATTGCTCACAAACACAAAATCTAATAATTGCAACAAAACCAAATTTTGCACAGTCACATGAAATCGACAGATCAAATTTGATGACGATTTTACCTATTTTCAGATGTGCGTTTACAAATGATTTGCAACCCATCCATTAAACGAAAACAGAAATTATCCACATATTACAGGCCGGTTTTACCTATTTTCAGATGTGCGTGCACAGATGATTTGCAATACATCTGGTAAATGAAAATAGAAATTATCCATATATTACAACACGTTCTTACCTGTTATGAGAATATCACAATCAAGGTGTGTTAATGACTCGAAGTTGGTAGAACAATGGACGTAGTGACAATATACACACGATGTCAGGTGAGTCTGAACAGGATGGTGTTGTACGAGACGTATATATAGGGACATTCAGAGGCGTAGACAGACAGGAGTGTACATGTACGTAACTCACATAACGGATGCGACCATTAAAACCGCCTTAAACGTCTGACAGTTGAGCGATGAACAGTTTTGCATGTTGAATAAAAATAGCAATTCTCCTTGCGTTAACTTCTTCCTAAACAACCTGGCCTGTTTGATATGGAATACTGTAAGGGACATTCTCGCGATGTCGCATTCTCGCGATCTCGTCCTTTGGAAAGAAGCTAAAATGCCAAAAGTGCGAGAATGCGAGATTTGGCCAAAATCTCGCGTTCTCGCGATCTCGCATTCTCGCACTTTGGGCATTTTTAGCTTCTTTCCAAAGGACGCGATCGCGAGAATGCGACATCGCAAGAATGTCCCTTACAGTATTCCATAGTTTGATATGCCCAGGCACAGGTTGACCCGTAACGTTGTGACAAAACATTTTCAGAATGCGATCAACATGTTTTCCTGTTTAGTTCAGGTGTTGTTTATTTACATACATACACAGCTTCGAATTCTCTTATTGGCGTTAGGTTCCTACCAGTATATCGTGCAGGACGTGCGCTGAGCGGAGCGTTGTCTCCAAGAATGGTTACCTTGAATATCATTGATTACCCGTAGTTCAAAGTGCAAGATCGAAAGTGATTATTGATGGCTAAACCGTTTAGAACCCATGGCATATTGCACTATGTTCAGACATTTGACTCATTTGAGCATAACGCTGTAGAAACCAATAAAGATGGTCTTGAAGACCTTGAAATTTTCGCATTTGTAATACAAGGTTGGTTCACACATGGTAGTGTAGACTGTCTCACATTCCCTGAACCACATTATATTCCCTACCGCCAAGCACTCTCTGCAGTGCTAGAGGCTAAACAAAGCAAGTCTAGATTTCCTCAGCTCTGGTTTCCCTTTAAATGGGCTTGTTTGTTACTATCAAAATTAAATATATTCAGAGACTAAGCATTAGTCTAATGGTAGTGGTATGTTGGATGCTGGTGTAGTGGCTTTGATGTAGTGGTAGCTGGTGTAGTAACTGATTATGTGGTGTGTGCTGATGTGGTGGCTGCTGATGTGGTATGTGCTGATGTGGTGTGTGCTGATGTAGTGGCTGCTGATGTAGTGGCTGCTGCTGATGTGGTGGCTGCTGGTGTAGTGACTGCTGATGTGGTGTGTGCTCATGTGGTGGCTGCTGGTGTGTTGTATGCTGATGTGGTGGGTGCTGAAGTAGTGGCTGCTGATGTGGTGGCTGCTTATATGGTGTTCTGATGTAGTGGGTGCTGATATTGTGGGTGCTGAAGTAATGTGTGCTGATGTAGTGGCTGTTGGTGTAGTGGGTGCTGGTGAAGTGACTGCTGATGTGGTGTGTGCTGGTTTGGTGGCTGCTCATGTGGTGGCTGCTCATGTGGTGTGTGTTGATGTAGTAACTGCTGATGTGGTGGCTGCTGATGGAGTGGTTGCTGATGTGGTGTGTGCTGGTGTGGTGTGTGCTGATGTGCTGTGCTGATGTGCTGTGTGCTGATGTAGTGGCTGTTGATGTGGTGTCTGCTTATGTGGTGTGTGCTCATGTAGTGGCTGCTGATATTGTGGGTGCTGAAGTAGTGTGTGCTGATATTGTTTGTGCTGATGTAGTGGCTGCTGATGTAGTGGCTGCTGATGTGGTGGCTGCTGGTGTAGTGACTGCTGATGTGGTGTGTGCTCATGTGGTGGCTGCTGGTGTGTTGTATGCTGATGTGGTGGGTGCTGGAAGTAGTGGCTGCTGATGTGGTGGCTGCTTATATGGTGTTCCGATGTAGTGGGTGCTGATATTGTGGGTGCTGAAGTAATGTGTGCTGATGTAGTGGCTGTTGGTGTAGTGGGTGCTGGTGAAGTGACTGCTGATGTGGTGTGTGCTGATGTGGTGTGTGCTGATGTGGTGGCTGCTGGTGAGGTGTATGCTGATGTGGTGTGTGCTGATGTAGTGGCTGCTGGTGTAGTGTGTGCTGATGTTGTGCCTGCTGGTGAGGTGTATGCTGATGTGGTGTGTGCTGATGTAGTGGCTGCTGGTGTAGTGTTTGCTGATGTTGTGCCTGCTGGTGAGGTGTATGCTGATGTGGTGACTGCTGGTGTAGTGTGTGCTGATATGGTGGCTGCTGATGTGGTGCCTGCTGATGTGGTGGCTGCTGGGTGTAGTGTCTGCTGATGTAGTGGCTCCTGATGCGGTGGCTGCTGGTGTGGTGGCTGCTGATGTAGTGGCTGCCGATGTAGAGGCTGCTGATGTAGTGGCTGCTGGTGTGGTGGCTGCTGATGTAGTGGGTGCTGTTGCAGTGGGTGCCGATGTGGTGGGTGCTGATGTGGTGTGTGCCAATGTAGTGGGTGCTGCTGTGGTGGATGCTGATGTAGTGGCTGCTGATGTAGTGGCTGTTGAGTTCCTGGGTGCTGATGTAGTGGCTGTTGATGTCGTGGCTGCTGGTGTGGTGGCTGTAGTGTGTGCTGATGTGATGTGTTCTGATTTAGTATGTGCTGGTTTGGTGGGTGCTGGTTTGGGTTGTGCTGATGTAGTGTGTGCTGATGTAGTATCTGCTCATGTAGCGTGGTGCTGGTGTGGTGTGTGCTAATGTGGTGCGCTGATGTAGTTCTGATGTGATGTGTGCTTATGTGGTGGCTGCTGATGTGGTGCCTGCTGATGTAGTGTGTGCTTATGTATTGGGTGCTCATGCAGTGTGTGATGGTGTAGCAGCTGTTGGTGCAGCAGTGAGGGTGTATTTCGTGTTGTTGTTGTTGTGGTGGCGGTGGATTTGGTGGTGGTGTGTAGTTGGAGTTTGTGTAGTCGCCGTGGTGGTGTGGGAGTTGTTGTAGTTGTGGTGGTGTGGTGGGTGCTGGTGTAGTCGTAGTGGGAGTTGGTATAGTCGTGTAAACCGAAGCATGAGTCTCATTAACCTATCCAGACAATGACCTACTTTTCAGCCGATCAGAATTTTCTCGTGTGAAAGTGAAAATAGCCATCACAAACAACTATGGTTACAGTGAATTCCAATTCCCTTGTTTTATAAGAAAATGGTATTTCCAAACGAATGTTAATTTTAATCTTTAATAACATTGTATTTCCATATTTTATTGTGGGGTGTAGGCAGCATGATTTTAACTAAGACGTCACAGACTGCCCCTGTTTGATGAGGTCGTAAAATGACTCACAAAGCATCTGACTCACTGGTTACACCTGTTGTGCGCTTATTCAGTGTAGTTCTGTAACGCACAATGTGATTGAAATAATATCGTGTCTGTACCAGACCGCCAAACTTTCTAGCGGGAGAGCCTCGTTTTGAGATTTCCACGATTTCCAGGTTTCCGTTTGTCAGAGCTCGCTCAACGACAGAGCACGCTGCACGACGTGTTTGCAAGGATTAGAAGGAGCGTAGTGGTGCAATATACAAGTGCTCAGATGTATTAAATATTCCTGATTAATAATTATGTATCCAGTTACATGAATTGGTCCCAAAATTCTGGACTGGTTATTGTACTAAGTTGCGCAATAGGACGGGCCCCAGTCAACAGGAAACGAGACTTTTATTGTAATCAATGTTTTGACTTGTAGTCATGGTGCTGTAGTGGGATTGGGTGTTGGTGTAGTATGTGTTGGTGAAGTGGGGTTTTGTAGTTGGAGTCGGTGTAGTCGATGTGTTGTAGTTGGTGTTGGTGTGGTCGTGGTGGTGTAGTTGGTGTTGGTTTAGTCGGATGGTGTAGTGTGAGCTGGTGTAGTCGTGGGGTTTAGTTGAAGCTGGTGTAGTCGAGATGGTGTAGTTGAAGTTGGTGTAGTGGATGTTAGTGTTGTTAGAGTTTGTGTAATCGTGGTGGTGTAGTTGGAGTTGGTGTAGTCGTGGTGGTGTAAAGGGTGGTGGTGTAGTCGAGGTGGTGTAGTTGGAGTTGTTTTAGTCGTAGTACTGTAGTCGTGGTGGTGTGGTGAGAGTTGGTGTAGTCGGTGTTGGTGAAGTGGGAGCTGGTGTAGTTGGAGGTGGTGTGGGTGGAAGTTGGTGGCGTAGTCATGGTGGTGGTAGTTGGAATTAGTGTAGTCGTGGTGGTGTAGTTGGTGTTGCCGAGGTGATGTAGTGGGAGCTGGTGTAGTCGATCTGGTGTAGTTGAAGTTGGTGTTGTCGAGGTGGTGTAGTTGAAGTTGGTGTAGTCGTGGTGGTGTGGTGGGAGTTGGTGTAGTCAGTGTGATGCAGTGGAAGTTGGTGTAGTCGTGGTGGTGTAGCCTGAGTTGATGTATTCTTGAGGTGTTGTAAAGGGTGCTGGTGTAGTCGAGGTAGTGTAGCTGGAGTTGGTGAAGTCAGAGGTAGTGGAGTTGGTGTAGTCAAGGTGCTATAGTCGTGGTCGTGTAGTTGGAGGTTATTCCTAGTCAACCTTAAATAGATAAGGTTGAAATGTATGGTTGGTTTGTTGTTTGACAACCACCTATGATTATTGAAGATAACCCTTGATCATAATGGAAAAATTGCATGGACATCTCAAATAAGAACATTATTATTTTAGTTGCTGTCACAATATATTGGTTGTATCTTATCATCTATGGTTTGGGTTCAAACAGGGATTTTATGACCGCTTCCTTCACCAACGACTTCAATCTCGAATATTCACTCTATTATAATATTATTCACATGGGTACAATGTATGAAGCCCAATTCTGGTGTTCCCTGCAGTGGTAATGTTTGCTGGCATATTGATAAAACGCTGTGTAAAGCCATCCGTACTCACTCCAAGTGAAGAAAGATGACGCGGTCGCAGCAACCCCACCGCAAACGTTGTAGGCCTGTACATGTACGTGGCGCCATCAGCAACTAACTGATGATTGGAAATGAGGTGTATATAAAACTATTTCTTATGTATTGTTATCCCCTTTCATGCTTACAGCATGCTCCTGACCAAATGTATCCTTTATATACCCTGGCTCCTTTTCTCTAGGTAGTCACCAACCTCTCTGCAAACACATTGGTATCCGTAAAGGTCCGGGTTAGAATGAACCTTCAGCAACCCATGCTTGT